ACCTAAGTTGACTCTTCAAGTCATGTCCTAACCTCTTTAGCACATGGTTCTTTTATTGCACAGATCCACTCCTGAAATTTCCTCAAGGTGGAGACAACTAAATTCTGTATGGTTCTACAACTAATTATTGTTAACTTGGGTAACAGGAGTTTTTTTTCACTATAGTTATGAGTCCTGATGGTTTCGGGTTATGGTTAAGGACATACACCCTGTGGCCAGAAGGCCTGGGTCTGAACTGCTTTCTAGCTGTGTGGTTGTTAGCAGGTTATGGCTGGTTTTCCTCATCGTAAAATGGTGATAATGTGTACTAGGTCATTTTGTGTTATTATTATTGCTCAGACCCATATGACAGAGGCCCCATTATGAGGCCAATGCCCAGTGTGTCTCTGAACCACATCTTTAACTCTTTCTGGTCAGAGGCCCACCTGTTCCTAACTACTAACTACTTAAAAGCACATCAGTTAATCCACATTTTCGACTTTCCCACTGTCCTCTTTCCACTAAGTCTTTCTTGTTTTCTCTCTTCTACGTCAATCTAGCCAGAATGGGTTCTCCTGAAATTGTACAAGTCCATTTCTACTAGGTAACCTTGATGGTTTTCCTTCCAACACTACCATAGATTCTCCCTCTGATCAATAGCTCCCATCCTTGTTTCTTGCATTATTCTATTTTTTAAACTTCACACACATACAAAGACAAAACAAAAGAAAAACTTACCAACAAAGTTGATCACTCATACATTGCTGTTGGGAATGGCAAATGGTACAGCCACTCTGGAAAACAGCTTGGCAGTTTCTTAAAAAAACTCTCCACAGTCTAGGCCCCTCCAGGATGGCACAGTAGGCCAGGGTCACAGTGCCTCCTGTATCTTCTTGTTTCCTGCTCTGGAAGAGGAGATAGGACAGTGTGGAGAGTTTAGAGATCCCAATGTGGGGAGAAACTATGAGATGTTTCTTCCATTTCTTATGGACTGTACCAGTAACTAAAGCAACTATATGCCAAGACAGAGAAGAAAAACCCGAGGTTTTGCGTTTGTCTGGTTTGAGCACGCAGAATCCCAGTCTTATGCCATAGTTATGCTAAATGGAATTCATTTATATGGAAGATCAATTAATATGCGATATCTATTTCAGAGTTCTCACTCTTCTGAATCAACTAACCACAGTCTTGAAAGCTGTGTTAAGATAAATTCACTAGGGACACCTGGATGGCTTAGTCATTTAAGCATCTGCCTTCGGCTCAGGTCATGAACCCAGTGTCCTGGGATCGAGTCCCACATCATCGGGCTCCTTGCTCAGTGGGGAGCCTGCTTCAACCTCTGTTTGCCACTCTCCTTGCCTGTGCTCTCTCCATCTCTCTCTCTGACAAATAAATAAAAGCTAACAAAAAAAAAAAAAATAAATTCACTAGCTACAGGAATGAAAGTTGTAGGCAGACCTTAACTGTCACATGCAGCTTTTTTCCCAAATTAATAATGCTGCTTTACCTCAAGAATATATTTTCTTCCAGAAACTTTGAGGTGGCATGCATATCGTCCAATGCTGCAGCTTCCATACTGGCCAATGACAGTGCCGCTTCCTAATGGCTTCCCCGACCCCTCACCGTCATGTTCCAGATCCAGGTCCAGAAATTGGACCCAGCTCTTAGGAACGGACTCACCAACAACCAGGTGACTCTGATTTTTATCAGACAAGTAAATAAAAGAGGCAAAAGAAAACTGGTAATAGTGATAGAACAGAAAACAATCAAGGAAATGAATAGAGCCCCAAGTTCCGAAAGCGTACGAAGAAAAGGTATTAGAATTATGTTCAAATGAAATCTTTATCTACATTGGCTTTAATTTTCTTAAAAGAAAAAAGAAAACTCTATCTGAATTCACCCAACGACTGATTTTGTGGCTGTCACTTTTGAATTATATAATCAAGTGACAACTAATTTGGTATTCGAATTTACCTTGAATGACAAAAACTTAAAAATGATTGCATTTTTTTGTATTTGTATTTGTCACATGATTGTTGAGCCACTGTCAATAAGAAATACACTTTGAGTTGTTTTATTAAATCCCAGGACCCCGAGATCATGATCTGAGCCGGAGGCAGACCAACTGAGCTACCCAGGCGCCCTGAAAGTTGTAACTTCCTAATGAAGACTAAATAAGCAGGCTTTAGTTTCCCTTAATACTTTGAAAAAATATTTTTTCAATCTATTGTTTCTGAATCTTACTCGTCTGTGGGTTTATTTCATAAACTAAGGACACATAACATTGATACCAAAGGAAAGACAACTACCATAGAAGTGGTCTTTTGATCATTCCTTTTTGATATGATTGTATGTAAATAGAGATATCTGCCTCTTTATTTCTCATTAATTATATTTAGTGAAAATTAATTGTCTAGGTAGTATTATTATCCACCTCCTTGTAAGCTAGGTTTGAGAGGATATGTTTAATATATTTAAATCTTGATAAATTAATAAAAAAGTAAATAGAATATTTCATTAAGGTATGATATTTAATATGTATTGCCTAAATAAAATTTCCTATGTAAAATAAATGGGTTATTTGGGGATGGGAGGAACTAAGCAGCACACAATCCAGCAGTTGTATTCCTGGGCATTTGTTCCAGAGAAATAAAGACTTAAAAAAACACTGTGAATGCTCATAGCAGCTTTATTTGTTATAACCATAAAATGGAAACAATCCAGGTGTCCTTAAATGAAAAACAGTTAAATAAGCTGTATATCCATACCAACTAATGCTACTCATCAATATATAGAAATTAACTACCGATAATGCAACATGGATCTAAAGAGCATTAGGCCAAATGAGAAAAAACAATCCCTAAAGGGAACATACTATAGGATTCCATTTATACAATATTCTTGAAGTGATGAAATTATACAGATTAGTGAGGGAAAGAGGGGGGTGGGCACGGCCATAAAAAAGCAAGATGAAGGATGGGGACTGTTCTGTATCTTGACTCTATCCTGGTTTTGATACTGTGTTGTAGGGTTGTAAGATAATACCACGAGGGAAATCAGAGTATAGAGAAAACTTGGTCTCTGTATTATTTCCCTGTGTTATTTCAACTGCATGTGAATCAGCAATTATAAGGGGGGAAAGTTTCAGAAAAATGATTTGTGATTTTTTTTGCCCTTTTTATTTTCCTTTTGGATTGATTTGCATATCATATATATGATACCTTTTATTTATTGTTATATTCTACATTCAGTTTCATGTTTTTAAAAGGTTCCTTCAAAGCTGGGCATCTTTGTTACATTAGAGGCATACAAATATATAAACATACAAACACACAGTGATTTCCCATGATGGTTTTGACCTAACTTTTTAGCTCAGTGTTCCTCTACCTTTACTCACATTTTAAACATTTTTGTCATCTATTTTAGTACTTGCAAAATCATAGAATGAGGAAGGGGCAAAGTTGGTTTCGTGCAAAGTGTCAGCGTATATTAAAAGAAACGTGTTCGGGAGTGAAAGCAGAAACCGCTCACCAGAGAGCCTGGAATCTGCGTTGACAGCGCTGGTGATTCCGAGCCACGTCAGACCCCCAGTGGTGTCCTTGGGAACCCGGCCACCGCGCCCCAGCTGGGAGCCGCAGGATCGACCGCTTTCGTGCTGTAACAGTGGCCTCGCGCGGCAGCGGCTGAAACTGCAGGTGTTCAGCGGCGAACCTCGCTACTGGGCTGAGCACAGGTGCACCGGGTCAGGGTCACACCCAGTTCTCCTTCTGCCTTGGGAAGTGCGTGGGTAGGGAGCTACGTAACCGGCCACTCCTGCTCGCATGCACTGAACCACCCTCTGGAGTGTTCACAACAAAAGGACTTCGGGAGAGGAGGGCAACAAAGAGTTCATGGGATTTGTGAAGGCTCAATTCTGGCAATCAATGCCAGACAGTTTTCCAAAACGGTTGTAGCTGCAATCATCCCCGTCTCCATCATCTTTTTAATTTTTTTTTCGTTTTGATAGTGTGAAAGGGCATCCCATCTTGGGTTATTTTGCCCCTTCTGGATTTATTTTACTCCTATTCCTCCCCATCTCACTAAGAGGCACCATCAAACACCACACCCTCAAGTCAAAATCTCTGATCATCCTAAACTCCTCTCTCCCCTGCCTTCACCTGAGCAGGTCCTGTTGGTTTCGCTTCCAAACACATCTTCTTCACTTCACCTCCACCACTACCTTCGTGGTCCAAACTACTGTCTCTCAAAGCTCCCTAAATCTTCCGTCCCTGCTAATCTGCAGCCCCTCTCAAGTGCACAAGCAGAGACAATGATCTTCCTGAAAAATAAATCAAATTCTGGAATCCCCTGCTGAAAAGCTTGCTCCCCCCTACCTTCTCTGTTTACTAGATTTCAGCCACGTGGGCCTCGGTGTCATCTCTGACCATGTCAAGACCTTTTGGACGTGCTAGGGAAGGCTCTCCCTCAGGATGACTGCCTCATTCTCAGCCTTTGGGTCTCAGTTCAAAAGCCTCCTCTCTCTGGAGAGGCCTTATCTAAATTAGGACCCCACACCAAGTTACTCAGTCACTTACTCTCCCGTATCACCACGTTTTCCCTTCATGGCAACTCTGTAGGACCATGGGACAGCCTGGTATTTATTTACAGTTTGTCTATTCCACCGGAATCTAAGCTCCATAAAAGCAGAGATTGTTTATTTGGATCACAGCTAAATTCCTAGTGCCTCCCAGAGGGATCAGTTCAGAGAAGTCATTCAATAGATATTTTTGAATTAATATATAGATAAAACCATTTCTTTTATTTTTTTTAAAAAGTGTAAATGTGGCTACTATAGCACGAAAATACATCAGGAGGTATGAGAATGACACAGAGAGATTCACTCATTTTAAGCAACAGCATGGATTTCACACGAAATCAGATGAACCCATTCCCTAGAATACAAGAAACAGTCCTGTGGACTCACTTGCTCTGGGAATGGAATACATCTACCAGAAATATGTAAAAAAAAAAAACAAAAAAAAAAAACAAAATCAAAACAGGTGGTAGAACTGAAATAGGGAGATTAGGGAAATGGATAATATTAAACTAAGCACTGTTTATAAATCCAGATCCTAATTCAAAGTACGTTACAAAAATGGAAGTCTAATGTTATGCCTCTTACACAAACAAAACTACAAGAGCTGAGAGTTTTTGCATGATGGGAGGCAAGAATTAGGCCTTTTGAATGAGAACAAAAATCTTAGGACAGAGAGACAGCATGCCTTTTAAAAACTGATTTCACAGTTATTCTACACATTTTGAGTAATCTTTATATTACTTTTAAGCATATCAAATGAATTCATTTATTTCCCTGTTAATAAACAAAAGGTAGATTCACAGAATTAGTGCACTTAAAAAGTAAACAAAGGAAACAGAAGACTTAGAGTCAATAATCCCTTCAAGGCCGGGTTGGATCACCTCAAAACACAAACTTTTGCTGATTTTCAACTGCTCTTCTCATACTTAATGTTGCAAATGTGGCTGGTCTAGCAGGCCAGCTTTTTAGGACAGCCCAACACAGGATTATCCAAAAATACATTGAGACCGTCAGGATGCTGGTATACAGTCCGTGGAGGTTTGTGTGTAATATTAAGAAAACCCCTTTAACTCTGATGTTCAAGGCCAGGAGCACCCATCTCCCAGTGGGTATTGATCCAGGATCTTAAGGCTAGATTTCATTAGGTAAGAGGGAAGTCCGTTCCTCCTCCGTGCCCAGAATATTTTGGAGTTTAGATCTGCGTTGAAAGAAAAAAGAGGAGAACCTCAATACTTCTCATCTTAAAAAAAAAAAAAACCCAGTACCGAGATCTCTACTTTTCCCCCTAAATGCATCTATCAAGTAATAAGGCTTTGGGTGCCCAGAAATCTGCTGACTGGAAGAACGGATACAGAATGGTTATTTTTTTTCCACTCCCATAGGCTGACTTTAAAAGGGGAAAAAAACGCTCAAGAGTTGACCATACCTTCTTCTCTGTGAGTGCTCCCACAGATAAAACAAGCCCATCGTTATTCCCTTGAACAAAATTAAAGAAACTGGTTAATGTCAATTCTCAAAGTCACACAGCTCCACAAATGTAAGGAAAATGAAAACAAAATACTGATTACTCACACTTGTCAGAGCCCAAAGACCTTGGACAGCAGCTGCCCATTCAAAACCAATTTTCTCATACAGAAATCCACCCAGTGTTGGTCCTATAAAAGCACTAACAATGAAAAGGAGAAAGAGTATTAAATAGTGTTTAAAAAAAAATTAAAAAAGAATTACTTCCTAAAGGCAGCACAATCCCTCAATCATACATCTTCATTAAATTGGAACTGTAAGGGGGTGTCTGGGTGTTTCAGTCAGTTAAGCGTCTGCCTTCAGCTCAGGTCATGATCCCAGGATTCTGGGATAGAGTCCAGCATCAGGCTCCTTGCTGGCAGGAAGCCTGCTTCTCCCCCTGCCTGCTGCTCCCCCTGCTTGTGCGTGCACACACACTCTCTCTCTCTCTCTCTCTCTCTCTGATAAATAAATAAATAAATAAAATCCTAATAAATACATAAATAAATTGGAACTGTAAGTACTAAAGACAAAAGCTAATTCCTGGACAGAGCACTGGGTGTGAGAAAACAATTATATCTTGGGGCGCCTGGGTGGCTCAGTGGGTTAAAGCCTCTGCCTTCGGCTCAGGTCCTGATCCCATGGTCCTGGGATTGAACCCCACATTGGGCTCTCTGCTCAGCAGGAAGCCTGCTTCCCCCTCTCTCTGCCTGCCTCTCTGCCTACTTGTGGTCTCTGTCTGTCAAATAAATAAATAAAATCTTTAAAAAAAAAAAACAATTATATCTGATAATGACAACGTTCACAAATTTTAAACAATTCTAAAATTATAGTAACTGCTTCTAAAAAACTGGTGCCTTACACAAGAATGTTAAAAAGGAGACACACCCTCAAAAGAATCTTTATATTATTCTCTCTATTCTTCTCACTATTCGTATTGAAAAGAACTTAATTCGGTATACATTTATTGAGATACACTACCGTGTCAGTGCATAGTCATCCCTCAGGGATAGCAAAGAGTGAAAAATAGACGAGTGAATGAAGAAATGACATTTTTAAAACTTGAGACATGCTCCTGTTAGAGGAACTCGGAAAGATCACTTTAAAAAGACAGAACGGGGGCACCTGGGTGGCTCAGTGGGTTAAAGCCTCTGCCTTCGGCTCAGGTCATGATCTCAGGGTCGTGGGATTGAGCTCCGCATTGGGCTCTCTGCTCAGCGGGGAGCCTGCTTCCCTCTCTCTCTGCCTACTTGTGATCTCTGTCAAATAAATAAAATCTTAAAAAAATAATAAAAATATAAATAAATAAATAAATAAAAAAGACAGAACATGGGACCATTTTGATGAGCTTTTAAAACTGCTGGTAAAACCACTGATCTTAGAGGCAGAGCATGTGGGTTAAGACTCCAGCTCTGGTCTAAATGAATTAGGTGCCTTTTGGCAACTCATCGGACTTCTTGGTGTCAATTTCTTTGTGGAAGTGGAGATAGCATTTTCCATATGACGGGTATAAATGAAAGGGCTACTCACCCAACTGACCACATTGCGCTGGAGAGACCCGACACTAGTCCCACGGTACTTAATCCCTCCTCAAAGCCATTTTCGCTGCAGAGACAGAAGAATAGATCTGTTATGAAAAGGGAAACCTACACGAAGAAAGCAAATAGTATGTAACAGGTAAGTTAAAATAGACTGGAAATGATCTGAACAAAACCAACAGAACACTCCATTTCTAAGATGAAAAGCTAATCTAATTTGAAGGAATTTTTATATTTATGTTGACTCCATGGTTTTCTAAAAATAATTTTATTGCATATATAAAGCATGATATCGAGTCATGACCCATTTGCATGAAGTCTCATAAAAACATAATTAACAAAGAAATTCTTAAAATGAGATGAACGTGCAAAGAGAGTAACGGGAAACTTTTAGATAACCCAGAGGCAGCTCCTTATTGCTTGGCGAATTGTTGACTTGAGCCAACAGAGCTCACATTCTTCTCCTTGTTCCCTTGGTGTTCTTCATCATGCCTCCTAAACAAAAGACTGGTGGCCCGGTGACAAATGCCTACTGTGATACTAGGATTTATAATAAGAAATATATATTTGGTCTTCCTCCTGTTTCTGGCATATAGCCGCCCCAACACCCTTGGAATTTCCTAAGTCAGGAAAGCAATTTCAAGTGCCTTTGGTCATGTTAATAAGGTGAGCCTTAAGGGCTGGTGGGCCAAGAGAGCCAAGCATGTGATTAGAGGGTTAGAACCTTCCATCCCACTCCTGGAAGCCCCCACCTTTGAGGAGGGGAGCGGGGCTAGAGGTTGACTCCATGGCCAATGGCCAATGATTTAATCAACTGTGGCTATGTATGATATGTCCCTAAAAACCAAAAAGGACAGGATGAGAGAGTTTCCAGGTTGGTGAACCAGAATCCTTCCACATGCCAGTGTGCAGGGCCCCAAACCCAACAAGGACAGAAGATCCTTTGATCAGGACTTTACCCTGCATGTCTTTTCATCTGGCTGCTGATTCACATCCTTTAATAACTCTTTTGTAATAAACCAGTAAATTCTAATGAGTACACTGGTTTCCTGAGCTCTGTGAATCACTCTAGCAAATGAATTGAACTTAGGAAGTTTTCATGGGAACCTCTGATTTATAGGCTAGTCAGAAGCACATATAACAACCAGGACTTGGAATTAGCAGCCGCAGTCCACGGCCATCTGCAGGACGGAGCCCTTCACCTCAGCATGTGACCTTCTCTCCAGGTAGATAGTGTCAGAATCGAGTTGCACTGCAGGACACCTAGCTGGTTCTGGAGAGCCGCTAGGTGGTGTGAGACAACCCCCCCCCACCCTCCAACAAGCCCCCAACGCACTGGATATCGTACTAGAATCATTTTACCTGGTGATCGTATGCCCTTGTGCGGACCTTCTCTGTGAGAAGGAAACAATGCTAGGCCTTTCCATTGTGGTTTGGCTTTTCAAAATTCGGTGGGTTCCTAGGCATAAACCAAGCCAAGCCTCTACCCACAGCTCTACCCACAGCTCATGTGACCTATCACTGCGTTAACATTACCATAGATTGTCATCTATAGTATGGCATACACTATTTATAGCACAATATAGTGTGATATAAAATCATCAAGATTTGGTCTTCTGAAAAAAAACTCCAACATCCTAGAAAACTGAGAAATTCAAGAAAGCGTGTGACGCTCCCTACTATTCACGAGCCGGCTTCTCAAGCACAGAAGGGACTTACTAGGCACAACTGAGGATCTCCGGGATGGTTGGAATTATGCTCATTCCAGCAGAGACACCGTTCAGGACTAGGATGAGCACCAGCAGCCAGAGCTGACTGCAAAAGGGTTTTGGAGAAAGAAACAAAACCAAGCAGCATTAGCATGTTGACAGGCACAAAGCCTCCTAGTAGGGAGGGCAGGCTGAATCCCAGAGCGGCTTGTTTCACAGATGACCTGACCAGTCTGCCTCATTGCCATTTTATCCCACTTCTGTCAGTGACAGCACCCTTACAGCCGGGGTGGGGGGGTGGGGGTGGATATCAATTCACCGCGATATCTCAATTTTTTGGTCACACATATCCCATGCCAGGAGTCAACATGATAAGAGATTATCACTGTATCTAATCTTGTCAAAATTGGCTAAATGTTCATGTCGCTCCTTCAATCACTTGGGTTTTGAAAAAAAAAAAAGGCCTAGAAGGGAAGTGGTAAAGGAAGAGACAGGAAACTAATCTTGTTCCACTTCCCACACTGTGCCATTTACTTAATATCCATTTCCCCACTGAATCGTTGCAGCATCATCCTGCCAAGCAGCACACACTGTGATCAGATAAGAAAACCAAGGCTCTTGGAAGCTGAACGATTTGCCGGAGTTCCTCTATCTAGTCAATGGCAAAGGCTGGATGTAAACCCAAGTCTGAAGGACCCTGAAATACTTGCTTGTTCCCTGTCATGCTTTATCCCAGGACTACCTGAAAACCTCTAAGCTCCCTGTATTTCAGCAAGTAAATTACATTTAAGAAGCTCTAATGAGCTGCTACTATGTGCTAAGAATGAGACAGAAACAAAAGAAAGATTTGATCCCAGTCTTAAGGCTCAAGAAGGAATTGAAAAAACAAAAACATATTGTAAGAACAATCAGCTAAAAGTAGGTAGCAACAAACACTATTTTTAAAATAAAGTACAAACAAGCGTGCAATTAAAATGCAAAGGGAGAAGCTTTGTTCCTCACTCGATATAGATTTTAGGCATTTCTTTTGGCTAGCTCCTAGCAATGTAAAATACTGCCAGTCTAACAAACAGTTCACTGGAGTCCTACATCAAGGTAATTATTTAAGTACTAAGGTTCAAAATATGAAGGTATGCCCTCATCCCACCAAAAATTTCTTTAATAATTCTTAACGCTATTCAGCCAAAAATATAGAAAAAGGAAAAACGTTACCTTTTAATGTGCAAGATTGGGATGGGTCCTAAGAGCATGTAGCATACTGCCGTGATGATGTTTCCCCAGACCAGAAACCATTTCCTTAGATGCTGGTAAAGAGAATGAGAGTCCAAAAAAACTCTAAGAGGTGAAGTTCCTCCATAAAGAAAGCATATGAAAAAAAAAAAAAAATTGAAGAATACAAGCCATGACATGAACAAGATCCAAATACATGGAAGAAAACAAAACTTTACATTTAAGAGAAAATAGGTAGATGGTAAACAGAAAAGCAAGGACAATATACCCCAAGCTAAGGAGTTTCCTACGAAAAGGATTCCTTGGGAAGGGAGCATATTACAGATTTTGCACACGATGAACAATTCCAAAAATAACAATTTAAAAAGCAGTCCCCACAAGGAACCACCTGGTAGATGCGATACATATTCACATTATTTTGAAAGTACCCAACAGAATTATTCCTTTTAAACTACTTGAGCACAGGCAGAAAATTCTAGAGGCAAAGTATCTGCTCAGTGAGAGAAGAGGGTCTTAAAACTGAGCTCCAAATATTGTTTAAGACCCTTGCTTTTTGTCATTCAGATTACCTAGTAATCTCCACGTAAGTTAAGTCTTGATAAATATTTATGTAAGCTTAATGAGGAGGGGAAATGCTAAATAAATAAATAAATAAATAAATATGTAAGCAAGCACTAAAATCACAGAAGCTGGAGATTTGGCTATCAGTACTTACTAGTACTGTATACCAATCATCTGGACTGAATGGTTTAGACCTAGGCAAAGGAGAACAGAAGGGATTTTCTACCTGGATGGCCACAGCACAACCAATGTATATTTATGTAGCCAATCCCTTCATTCCCACAGAAAACCTGAATTGTCTCCACTCAATTTTCCCTAGTCCTAACTAATTCTGCGACTCTGCCCTAATTTTTAAGGCCAATCCATGTTATTTTGCATCAAGGGACTTTTTTCCTTTAGAAAGTCAAATCTAATAGTTTGTCAACAGCTTCAGTGCAGACCCCATTTTCCCCCAGAAGAATCAATTAATAGTGAATTTTCTCAGAGTGACAGGTTGGAAGACACTGGAACCTCGTCATCGACTCCAAAAATTGAATACTGTAGAATTTAAATGTTCTCGCCCCCTCAAAAAAAAAAAATTAAAAGATAATATAGAGGTGATGGGTGTATTAATTAACCAGATGGAAGGCACCCTTTCACAATTATTTGGATCCCAAATCACCATAGTGTACACTTTAAATATCTTACCATTTTATTTCTCAATTATATATTAATAAGCTGAAATTTTTTTTTAATTATCAATTCTAATCAATGGACCTCTGGAGTTCCAGAAGTACAGCTGGAAAGCCACTGGCTTAAATATACAAAAGTGATTATTAAATGAAGATTCAGTGTACGTACTGGTATTTTATCACTCAGCAGACCAAACAATGGTGAAGAAATGGAGTAGGATAGGGCCAAGCCCAGGAATACCAGTCCCACATAACCGGCTGGTAAATTAAACTGTAAAAAAAATTTCATATTAGAGTTATGTTATTAAGTCATTTTTAAAATAAACATAAATCTTTTCTAGCACCTCTTCAGATCTTGTTATCTATCATGAGCCCACTACTACCACTAAGCATCTTTCCTGATTTTGACTGACTTGTGTAAATGGGCTCCTTTTTCTCTATAAGGGGAAGAAAAAAAACCTAACCAGAGGTCAAAAGTCCTAGATGTCTTGCTCTGTAGCATTTGATTTTAAACATATAATTTTGCTTCTATGAATCATAACATTTTTTACATGTAAACCAGAGCTTCACAAACTTTAGTGTGCATTAGAGAACTACCCAGAGTACTTTGAAGAGGTTCTTAGCTGGCAACAAGTGTTAACATGCCTTGATTTAAGGGATTTAAAAAAAAAAAAAAAAAAAAGAGTTTCTTAGACTTCAGCCCTAAAATTTCTGATTTAAAAGGTATGGGATGGGGCCAGAGAATTTGCATTTCTTACTCTTTTTTTTAAGTAGGCTCCACACCCAGCTTGAGCCCAACATGGGGCTTGAACTCACGACCCTGAGATCAAGACCTGAGCTGAGATCAAGAGTGGGACACCTAACCTTCTGAGCCACCCAGGTGCCCTAAGAATTTGCATTTCTAAAAAGCCACCAAGTGATGCTGACTGCCCATAGACTAAAATGCACTGGTGTAAAAAACACTGAGGATAACATTTATCTCATTTATTTCAAAGGGCTGTTAATATCTAATTAAAGAATTGATGGTGTGATGCATTACAAAAGGCTTTTAAAACAGTAACCTACCACACAACCCTGATACTGTTATTAGCATGATACAAACACCTTTTTTGGTTCACTGAGTTGTTCTTGTTTTCCTTAATTTCCTTAACTAATTTTCTTAAGCAAGGTCATGAGATTTATATATGAGTCCATATATGTTTCAACAATTTTTATAACAAATTAGTCCTTTGAAGATACTAGTATGAAGGGGGCACGTGGGTGGCTCAGTTGGTTAAGCAACTGCCTTCGGCTCAAGTCATGATCTCAAGGTCCGGGAATTGAACCCCACATCGGGCTCCCTGCTCAGTGGGGAGCCTGCTTCTCCTCCCTCTGCTGCTCTGCCTGCTTATGCTCTCTTGCTCTCACTGTCAAATACATAAATAAAAATCTTTAAAAAAGAAAAAAAAAAGATACTAGTAGGAAGAAAGAAGTCAGCGGTGTTTTCTGATTTTTATAACTGGGGGAGACAGGGTGGAAATGTCCTACCCTAAAAGGCTAGGTGATGAAAGACAGGACAGTAAGCTGCCAGTTCAAACAGCTGGTGAGAAGTCAGAAGAAGGGCAACAGGATAAAAATCTTTTGATAGAAAAAATAGGAAAATGTAAAGATATATCTAACAAATGTATTTGGAAAATAATATTTATAAAGATTCCTGATAAAATACACATGAGCAACTTGGATTTACCACAGATTGGTTACAATATTTTCCCCTTGTTCAGGCAGAAATTCTTCAGAGGATAGAAAAATGACTCTTGAAGAGATACACTGTTGATGACACGAATGGCATGTGTCATCATAAACACAAAATATGTTTCTTATTACCTCACAGATGCTCAAGCAAGATACTATATTATTTCCTAAACGTTGGGTCAGGCACTAAAATCACAGTCTCCATGTTTATCTTTTTGTGTATCTCACATACCCAAAACTGTCTCTAGTAACTTCGAGGAACTGTGTGTCTGGCAACTGTGCTTTTTGAATTCCCAAACCTCACATATAGTCAGTGTGGGATGCAATTAGAGTTCTGCCTTTATAAACACATATTAATTCTTCAGTATAATTAACTACCAGAGTTAGTAGTGTACTTTATCACATTATTAATAATCTCTTTTCCAGAAATGACTAAGAGACAATTTCTACAACATCCAACTTTTAAATTCAACATTTATTTTCCAGCACTCAAAAAAAAAAAAAAATTGAGACTCTTGATTCCTCTCTACCATCCCAGATTAATATATTCCATAGTCATTTCATGTATGTAATATGTAATAGACTAAAAAGTAAGTGGACCCAGAAGGGATCTGTTAGAGAAGAACATCAAATGAGCTACAGAGTACCCCAAATGTCTCACTGGAATTCAAATAAGTAGAGGAAAGTATCCTTGTTAAGCAGCCAGACCTGTGATGACTCGAGCAAGACCCTGAAAAGGAGACCAGTATTCAGGCCATTTAGTGAAAAGCTTCTTTCGCTCACCCTGAATCAGACCCCTAGTCAAAGGGATGTCACAGAGGGAAGGTACAGGCTACCCGTGGGTGCAGTTCTCACCCTGTGCAGTTCTCACAGCCACTCAGAGCACATTCCACAAAGCAGAACCCAAGAGCAAGCAAACACACCCACCTTCTACAGTGCAGAGCTCTTTGACAATCAGGCCACCTACCTTCTCCAGAACAAAGAGAGACAGAGTAGGATCAAGGAAGCCAAAACAGGAGCTGAGGGAGTTGATGACGAAGGCTATGAGCGCGACCTTGGGTAGAGTGATCAGTTTCCAGAATGAGTGTTTGCCTGGATCAGAATCTTTGGGTAAAAATTTGAAGAAGGAAAAAAAAAAAATCAGAGTAGTTCACAATGTCGACCTATTTTGAAAAGTAAAATTGGTAAGGCCATCTTTATTTGGTAATCAAAATAACTGCACCTCTGAGTTTGCTTAAAATTACCTATTATCTATATTGCATATAAATTATTCAAACCTAGGAGCCACAATGAGTTTTCTTAAAAACAATTTCTCAGATTCATAATCAACTGGAAGCAGAGTGTGAGGAGAAGAGAGGGTCTTTGGTTATAGGTTATAACTGAGAAGCAAGTGAGGCCTTCCCCAGGTGGGATGGAGAATATATAAAGTTAGATTTGGCGCAGGAGAAAAGCCAGAAGCTTTATCAAGGAACAATGTATATGCTGAGAAAGAATCTATGTTCACCAAAGAGCACAAGACATTTTTTTTTTTTTCCTGATGGCAAAGAAAACACCAGATTGAGAGGCATGTTACTGAATCACACATAAATTATACTGGCCCTCAAGGTCAACTGCACTGACCTCAGTGCCAGTATCCCCTTGCAGGAACTCAGCTTCTTCACTGTTCCCAGCAACAGGAATGGTTATTTCCAAGCCTCCAGTCACATGCTCTGACTCCTTTTTTTTTCTCCTGCTAATTTTTCAAATTCTATCCACTCCGTAAGGTCTGGTTCTGGCCCACAAATTTTACCTTTCTCTGTTTCCTACCGCACTTCTGGAATCTACCATACCTTTTAGCACCTAAACTACATTTTTTTATTATTATTTACTATTTTTTGGTGATTTTCCTATCACCCTGTTAATTTACTGAGCAAAATCCTTGCAAAATGCTGGGAAGATAAAGGCAAAAAAGACAGAGCCAAGCCCTGACCTCACAAAGAAGTTACAGGAAGGAGAGGAGAGAGCTAGGATGTAACTAGGAGGGAACCTTTCAGAGCATATGAGAGGACGGCCTTAAACAAACAAAAACAGGGAAAGCCGTATAAAGAAGGCTTCCCGAAAGTATTGATATCTAAGTTGATGCCCAAAGCATGAGCTTAAGATGAGGAAGCCAAGGATGAAGAAAAAATAAGCCAGGCACATTATTCCAGGAATGGCACCTTCTAAGACTCAAAAATCAGGAAAACTATACTGTGTTTGAAGAAATGAAGGAGAGAAGCAAAGCTAGTGGATGGAGACTGGCGTAGGGGACACAGCAGCATGGACAGAGATCATACCGCAGAAGCATGTTTGTGCAAGACTCTGAAAAACACGCTTAGAAGCCTGAGAAATCACTAGGGAATCCAAACAAGGGGTAGGAATCAGATCAGTGGTTTGAAGAAACCTCTCTGTGGCCTTGTGGAGAATGGAGACAAGGGGACCGGTCAGGAGGCAGCCACAGTGCTGGGGAAGAGATGATATTGGCCAGGTGTGGACAAGGAAGCTCCTGGAGGGCGAGGATCAGCACTTGTATATCCTTGTTTCTCCGAAAACACCTGTCATGGTTCATGACTTAATTCTTGGAGAATAAGGATCCAGTATGGAACAAAATACCAAAAAAAGCACAAAGAATGGTTCAAGTATTTTGAGCGTTATATTTAGAACTTGGTCAAGATCAAAGGGATAAAGTTAAACCATGATGTTAATTTCTTATTTATTAGCTAAAAAGTCAATGGTGAACCAAATGTGAGCACAGTCTAGACACTCAACTATAGCAGGTGTGCAGTGAGACTCAGAGAGAGGACAAACACTGCCACGTGGCTCGGGGTAACAGGGCCAGCAGGGAGAGACTTCATTTGGTGTGGATTTTGAATGGTTTATTAAAGAGATTCATTAGTCACTATTGACATATAAATTATAGATCAATTTTAATTGGTTATATTTATTTGCATATAAAAGGTATTATTGGATTTCTGGTATAAGATAAACTATTATGGCAGAAATGATTGCCTTCTCTAAATCCAAAGCAGGGAAAAATGAGAAATCACACTGAGAATACATAAGAGTGTCCAAAGAAGCAAACACATAATGAGTTTAATTTAACTGTGGCAGGAGGCCAAGCAACGAAAACCTAGCGTGATACCTGCTTCATGAGACACATGGCAGAATCACCGGGGGAGCTTTCCCAGGCTACTCAGGTACTCTCTCTGCTCCCCACAATTCTGACCTATTCTTTTAGAAGGACATGACCCCCTGGTTGATGATGCTGCCACAGGAAGCTGCTGTTAGAGGTGTTACTTACGCAGCATTTAGCTGGATGATCGAGAAGATTCAGAAAGACTTCCCAGAAGAGGTAATACAGAGTAAGTTTTGAAGGATGAGGAGGGATCAGAGCAGATGGGAAGGGGAGAGATTTCAGACCATGTGACTCCTCTACTGCAATCTCACAACAGCTCCTCATGGCTTTCAAGATAAAGCTCACATTTCACAGATTTAGGCATTTTTAATAAAAGGATTGGCACGTCCATGACTGTTTTAGAAATATTTCATGAGAGCGGTACAGAAGAGAGGACTTGGTGAACAGATACAAAGGATAAGAGAGAGAGAGAGAGAGAGACTAAAGTTGACTCTTAACCCCCAAAGCTAGAACCACATTGTCTGTGAGTCCAGAAGGAGGTAAAGGAGTGGGGTAGAATTTATAGGGCACCGAATTCTGCCAATATCATCAAAACAAAAGAAAATTTCATTTTCTAGCTTCTATCCATAAGCTCTCCAAAGGCATTAATTTTAATAAGTACTCCTTCACGGGAACCCCTAAATCTGTATTTATAGTCTTAACATTATCAATCTCAGAGTTTTTTTAATACCAGCTTTTTTCTATTCAGTCTAAATAGAAGATCCCCATAGATGAACAGCAACGTTGCCAAACCCTTTTGTTCACAAAAATACAGCTAACTGGGATTTTGTTAAGTTCAGTGAAAATGCTGGAGATTTTAATGGAGGAATAACAGAAACGAAGAGCACTAACTGTCCAGGAAGTAGGCTGGTGGCAGTCAGAAAAGGCTGCAAAAGACATCACGTGGTGGGGGCAAGGGGGAGACAAGAAGAGCAGGCCAGGACTCCAGGAGTAAAGATGCGGGGAGGCCAGTCTAGTGCCTCACCACAGAAGTTCTAAATATCCGTCCTACCATGAATTAATAAGCAGTCTTTTTCCCTCTACAGTGTGGTAAAGCGTTGACAGAACTGTTTTTCCCACTGCATGAGACTCTGACCTGGTGTCAGTTTCTTGCTTATCAGCCCAGTGTTCATCTGTCAACCAAGCGACCAGGATGCTCGACCACAGAAACCACTGTCACACGCGGAAACAAGCACCGCCTTGCATTTCAGCGGGCACTTCTTCTCTAGAAACTTTCTCTAGCTCTCTCCTCTCCAGCCTTCAAGTTAACTCTCTAGCTCTGCTCCCCCCATCACCTGATGAAGGTCAAATGCCAGCGATGTTCTAGGCAATCTTGCTTATAATAAAAATAGCCCTTGCCTGGTAAATGTCATTCCGTAGAGTCCGTAGAGAAAGAACTCGAAATGAACAATGTGTACCTGATGAGGACACCAAGCTTGGTGCTTCCCTGAGTGTGCTGACTCAGGCATGTCCCTCATGGTGACCCTTGCAGCTATGTCCATGGAGCCATTACAGGATAGGTTGACTCCTATGTGGCACAAAGGTTTGAATCCAGGGTGCCCTCCATTACTGCCCGATACGGCTGTGTGTTCTCACACTGGCAGTTGGAAGGACCACTGGGGAGAAGGTCTGACCCCGCTCTCCTGCCTACCGGCCTTCCAAGAAGATAGTGTGGCCTTTGATAACTTGTCATTCAGAATACTTAATTAAGTCCAAGAAGACCTCTGGTGGGCACTTCACAGGGTGATGTTTTATGATGGGAAATTAAATATTCGACAGTTCTGAAGGTCAGAACCAATTTGTAATACATAGAAATTCATATAAAGTGCCTATAGCAACATTTCTGAAAAGAGAATCAATTCTTTCAGGGTGTGCCATAAATCTATTATGGCTTATATAAAATGAAAGAGAGTATTTGCTAAATTGGCCTCCTACAGAGGCATAAATATACTTAAATTTCAGACTCTTAAAGTGAGTAATAAATGCAGTCTTACCATAATCAGGTAAAATGTACATGTTGAGTGGTACCATCAGCAGAACTATGCATCCCAGCAAAATAAAAGGCATCTCATAGCCAAAGGACTGATACAAGAAGCCACCTAAAGGAGGTCCTAAAACTAGTCCCAGTCCAGAAAAAATCTCAAGACTTCCCTAAAAGTGGGGGGAAAAAAGAAAATTGAGTCAATATAGTTTGTTTGAAGAATTAACAAGTAAAGATTTAATGGACACCATCTGAAAAAAATTCTATCCACTTCACAATTTACACACACAAACCCACACAAACCCAAAATGAGCCAAAAACTTAAATATACATATCGAAAGCATAGAAATTCTAGAAAAATAAAATATAGCAGGCTTTTTTTTTATTATTTTTAATCCCTATGGTTGGGAAATCTTTCTAACTGCAATATAAAACTCACAAGACACAAAAGAAAAAAATTCACAAATCGGATTACATAAAAATATGAAAACCAATGGATGGTTAAGTACATCAAAAGACAAATGAAGAACAGGGGAAAAAATACTGACAAAGGACCACTTTCCCCAAATATATCAAGAGAGCTAATATTAATCAATGGGGGAAAATGAACAATCCAATAGGAAAATGAGCAAATGCTATAAGTAGACTGTTGACACATAAAATACAAGTAGCTCGTAAGCATATAAAAGAAAGCCCATCCTCACTTTCAAAAGAAGGAAATGGTTAAACCACAAGATACCAGTTTTTACTCATCACCCATCAGATGGTCTGCTGCCAAGGAAGTGAGGAAAGCAGCCCATGCACACACGGCCGGCGAATGAATGGACACAGGAGGGTAATTCGGTACATACTCTCTGACCCAGAATGCCATTCCGGGAATTTAATTTTGGGGCACAGTCGTAAAGATGTGACACGGTATACGTACAAACTTATGTGTTTGTAGCACGATCTGTACCAGCAAAAGATGTAGACGATCTAAACATTCATCAACACTTTGAGTAAACCATGGATGTATGTTACCTCCATATAGGGAAGTACTACCTACTACCACTGAAGGGAAGCCAGAGTAGGGAACTCTTCATGCATAGGCACAGATCATATATAGGCACAGAAAGATCTCCAAAATGCTTTCACTGTTAGTATAACAGCAAGGCTCTAAACAGTGTGGAAAGTATCCTACCACTAGCGTAAAGGAAACAAAGGGGAAAGAATCACATATGCCCTGTCTGTTAGGGGCGCACATGCATGCTTTCGTGTGCGTTCGCGCACATGCCCACGAACACATTCATACATACATGGAATCACTCTAGAAAGAACCTGTAATCTCTGTGGCCTCCAGGGAGACCCATGTGGGACTGCATTCCTAGACACCAGGTGCGTCCATGAAGGTGAGAAAAAGTAATATATAGAATATATTCACTTTATTCTATAATTCCTTTGGCAACTTCTGAATTGGGTACTAAATAAAATTTTTTGTTAAAATTAAAATAAAACTGTGCTAGGAAAATATTTTACTCTTAAAAATCTCTTACAGAAATTGCACCATTTTTAACGAATCTAGTCTTTGGCAGTGCTAAGCAGAGATTGTGGCTTGCAACCTTGCAACCTGAGACCTCACAGAGGACACAAAAGTAGTCCACTGGTAACTTTCAATTTCAGAAAGAATATAGGAATTCTACATTTCGTCATAAGGAAGCCGTCCACATTGACTACCAAGTTAGCTGTGTCAGCTTTAGGCTGTAATTTTTATATAGAAACGGGGTTGGCAACATGAATTTCCCCTGTTGACCAGAAAATCAAAGCGACTATTGCTGTTATCATAGGAAATTCCTTGATGGCACCTTCCAGAGTGTTCCACAGAAGAGCAGTTCTTTAACAGTCAAAAAGTAGTTCCACAGTCAAATTGAGTTGTGGAAAATTAAATAAAATACAGGATTTCTCAGAGCCTTAATACACTCACTCAAGTGAAAGTTGGAGAACAGCACAGGCACACTCCATTTTACCCCCAGAACCCTGTTTTACAGAGCCTGTCAATGGCCTCATGTTCTTCTGAACCATTTTTGAGAAATGTGTTTCTGGGAAATGTAAGCAGTACATCACTGCCTACCATATGGTTACAGAACCTAAAATGAGCCTGAACAGCCAGCTAGCTGTAGATATAGATATTCAATAAAAAGTGGGAAGAAATATGGGCGCCTGGGTGACTCAGCTGGTTAAGTGACTGCCTTCGGCTCGGGTCATGATCCTGGAGTCCCAGGACTGAGTCCTGCATCAGGCTCCCTGCTCGGCGGGAAGTCTGCTTCTCCCTCTGGCTCTCCCTCTTCTCAGGCTCTCTCTGTCTCTCATTCTCTCTCTCAAATAAATAAATAAGACCTTAAAAAAAAAAAAAAAGTGGGAAGAAATAATTACCTACACAGCAAAAATACTAATGACCAAAACTACAGTATTAATATGGGCAAATAAGGGCACTTTTTTTTTTTTTTTAATTTGACAGAGAGATCACAAGTAGGCAGAGCAGCAGGCAGAGGGGGGGGAAGCAGGCTCCCTGCTGCGCAGAGAGCCCGGTGTGGGGCTTGATCCCAGGACCCTGAGATCATGACCTGAGCCGTAGGCAGAGGCTTAAACCACTGAGACACCCAGATGCCCCAAATAAGAGCATTCTTAGAACTAGGCTGAGGAGGCCCTAAAGTCTAAAGGAAAATTATTCCTTCTGAGGGCTGCATTTGGTCTGATATGCAAACCACAGTTCCTTCCAGAGTGCCTGGGTCCAGAGGAGAGAGCCATAAGAGAGCCTGCTTGGGGTCAGAGGCAGTAGTCAAGAGTTGGGACAGACATCTGGTCTGTCACTAATACTAGGTGTCCGGCCAATATAGGGGAATGTATGTCAATCAAGTTTTGGATTTGGGGAAAAGTAAGAGAGCACACAAGGACTCCAAGCCCTCTAAGATTCCTTCCATGAATCTGGGAATAGTAGAGGAAGGCCTCAAGCTTGAATCAAGTGTCTGGTCGCTAAGGAACTGTCCACTGTTGCTCGGTCACAGTCTGGGTACAGAGAGACAACAAAATACTACCAGGGAGCTCGTTTTGTTTGTTTTGTTTTTAATGGTAAAAAAGAATATTTAGTTTGAACCCCATTTACCTATCAAACTGCTCCTTCAGGAGATCATAAGCATAGGAAGAGACCTAAGTAAGACTGATGGTACATTTGCTGACGGCCTGCTGCTGGAAGTAGTAACCGGGGTAAAAGATAACCAAAACACACAGAAAATAGGAAAAAGTAGATCTCAAAGGAAGTGTTAACTTGGAAAAGGCAAATATTTTCACCAATGCTAAGAGGGAAATAGGAAACACGTATGAAATACATACCAACACCGTAGCCACATTATTTGGAAAAGCCTTTACGAGAATGGAAAAAGACGCAGTTATTGCTGCCGCAAAGCTGACCGCGTCTGCCACTCTCACTAGAAAACACATAGCAATAAATATCGGTCCATCTGGAACTTGATCCAATACACTAAAAAAGAACAAGACAATTCTCAAATGCCGGGCTGGTTTTTATTGTTTTTCCTTTTTATTTCGACTCACTGAAAAGAATCATATCTCACCTACAGTTCTTATAATAAATCTCTTTAGAATATGATTTTTTGGGGGTGCCTAGTTGTCTCAGTGGGTTGGGCCTCTGCGTTTGGCTCAGGTCATGATCTCAGGGTCCTGGGATGGAGCCCCGCATCCGGCTTTCTGCTCAGCAGGGAGCCTGCTTTCCCCCTCTCTCTGCCTCCCTCTCTGCCTACTTGTAAGCTCTCTCTCTGTAAAATAAATAAAATCTTTAAAAAAATGATTTTTTAAAGTTGCTTTGTTGTACTTTCAGTAGAAGGCAATTATCTCTTTTTTTGGTTAACAATCTGCATCACATAATGACAGTTTCATGGACCTTGTATGCTGAAGTAACCGGTCCTCTGCAGGTGATACTAAATCCGGTTTTTGAAATATGTAGAATCACTCTGCTAAGAACATAAATGAAAAAAAGACTTCTTGGTCTCAGGTGCCCCTCAGTGGCAGAACTCAAATCTTCAAACAAACAAACAAAAAAAGGAATGCAGAAAATAGAAGACCAACCCCCTTCAAAAAAAAAAAAAAAAAAAAGGAAAGAAAAAAAAAGGAAGGAAAAAAGGGGGGGAAAAAAAATCCCACTTAGTTTGATATGAAGGCTTCCTGACCTTACTCCATCATCTTACTGTACTCTTTTCATGCCGCTATACTCCCCAACTAATTGTGTAGGCTCGATCACATGATTTGCCATCATACTGCTGGTGTAAGGACTCTAAGCCTGAAGACTTCTATTAAGTTTTTTTTTTTGTTTTTTATTTGACAGACAGAGATCGCAAGTAGGCAGAGAGGCAGGCAGAGAGAGAGGAGGAAGCAGGCTCCCCGCTGAGCAGAGAGCCCAATGCGATGCGGGGCTCGATCCTAGGGCCCTGGGATCACGACAGGAGCGGAAGGCAGAGGCTTTAACCCACTGAGCCACCCAGGCGCCCCTGCCTTAAGACTTCTGTAGCTATTTTACCTTTGGCACTTATTTTCTCTTTTCCTGGAAACAGCAATGGAGGGAACCATTCCGAAGGGAGCACATGACTCAAGCCTGGCCAATCAGAATGTCCTCCTCCTCTACATTGCCCCGGATGCAGGGATGGGTCACCAACAAGATCAGGCCAGTGGCTCCATTCTGAGAATCTACCGGAAACTCAGGAAAAGTGGGAAGCTGTTGAGGAATTCTTCCTATGGGAGCTGCGGGGGAACTCTTGCTACCACAAGGGGACACCTTGACCAAGAACAAAGCACAAGAAGAGGAAAGCAAAACCAGGAGCTTGAGAAAGATTTCCAAAGACATTATTTTAACATCTGTCTCCTGATATGCTTTGGCTGATTCTTTAATGCACTTGGCATTTGAGCCAAAACATATCGTGTGACTCAGAAAAGTGAGTTAAGTTTCTGTCACTCACACTCATAGCCCTGATGAACAGATTCAGAAGCCACTTAACGATAAGTCCTTAGAAGTCTCTTTCCTTCATTGGCCCTATCCTCTAAACACCCAGTTCCCTTCACCAATAGCTATATGCGCGGCTGTAAGCAGGCAATCAATGGTACTGATTTAAAGAATCCATTAAAATTTTAAATTGAAGATAAATTATGAAATCTGTTCAAGTTCCCAAACATATCAGAACATGACTTACCCAAAGAGAATTGTAACTCCTCCTGAGACAAACATTCCTGCTACAAACATAAATTTTGCTCCAATTTGTACAAGCTATAATAAATGTCAGAGAAGAGGGGTAAATTGATGACTGTTACAAGTCCACATCCACATAAACAAATCTACTGCATCAGAAAATATAAGGTTTGGGCAAATATAAGGTTTGGGCAAATATGTACAATTAATGTAAGATTATAATAATTCTTTAATGGAATGACAATATACATTGCTTGCAAACATGGAAGAAGTGAAAAATCAATCGACCCATTATGGGAAATGAAATAACTCAGCCAGAGAAAGACCAATACCATATGATCTCACTCATATGTGAAATTTGAGAAACAAAACAAACAAGCAAAGGGAAAGAAAGAGACAGAGACACAAACCAAGAAACAGAATCTTAACTATAGAGCACAAACTGATGGTTACCAGAAGGGAGGTGGGTGGGGAGATGGATGAAATAGGTGATGGGGATTAAGGAGTGCACTTGTTGTGATGGGCACTGGGTGTTTAATGGGAAGTGCTGAGTCACTATACTGTGCACCTGAAAACTAATATTACACTGATGTTAGCTAACTGGAATTCAAATAAAAACTTAGGAAAAAATTTAATCAACCCTAAGAATGGAACCATCAACATTTCGCATAATTCATAAAATATAATGATGGCTATTTCTGTATCAATGGAAATTCTAGACTTATAGATTGGAATAATTCATTATACAACATATAAAAATGAAAGTGTTCATATGAATTTTAATACTTACATATTTTCCAAACACCAAAGATGCCAGCAAGTCAAATAAAGCGTAACATCCAAAGATCATACCCGTAACTGTATTGCTGACTCCTTTCTTTTCGGCCTTTAAAGAAACAGAAAAGGAAACAAAGTCTGCAAGACAAACTTTCATCCCTGTGGAAAGATGGAGCTATTAGATCAGGGCATTGTTTTCTTGTAACCTTTATCTGTGTAGCAATTTCAAAGATTATCATTTTCAAATAAGCAGAATGGGGAAGGAAGGGAAACTATATGGTAAGACCCAGTCTCTGACATGAAAATTATTCACTCACCACACCCATAAAGAATTGTTAGCTTTATAATCTTGAGAAAGAAAAACAAAGCCTGAGGCAACGCATTTCATGATTTCAAAAATAAATTACAGGGGTGCTTAGGTGGCTCAGTCTGTTAAGCATCTGACTCTTGATTTCAGTTCAGGTCATGATCTCAGGGTCGTGAGATCAAGAAGCCCTGGAGCAGGGCTCTGTGCTGGACATAGAGTCTGCTTAAGATTCTCTCTCTCCTTTTCCCCCTGGCCCTCCCCCTTCCCACACTCACGCCCATGCATGTGCACTCTCTTAATTAATAACAAAGTTGAAGTAATTAAAACTGCATGACACTGGCATAGACAAACATATGGAATAGATTAGAAAGCCTAGCAATAAACTCACACACTTATGGTCAAATGATCTTCCACAAGGATGTCAAGGACAGACAGTGAAGAAAGGATAGTCTCTTCAACAAATGGCATTCGGGAAACCAGACATCCACAAACAAAAGAATGAAATCAGACCCCTATCTTACACCCGCTCACAAAATCAACTCAGAATGACTTAAATGTAAGATCTGAAACTGTCAAATTCCTCAAAGGAGGGTGCTTCTTGACGTTGGTCTTGGCAATGATTTCTTGGAGTTGACACCCAAAACTCAGGCAATAAAACCAAAAGTAGACAGATGGCATGAGAACTCAGCAATCAATAAGCCAAGAAGAGAGGCCTGAACAGACTCCTCCCTCACAGTCCTCAGAAGGAACCAACCTTGCTAACATCTTCCCAGACTTCCAGCCTCCAGAACTGTTAGACAAGGAATTTCTGTTGTTTAAGCCACCCTGTCTGTGGTATTTGTTATGGCAGCGCTAGCAAACTAAAACAGGTACCTCAGTGGGAAGATATCATCAAAGGAGTCGATAAAGATATGGAAAGAACATTCATTGGTCAAGTCACATTATCCATGTTCCTTGCTTAGTCGATCTGGTAAGTATTTCATCCTAGAGTCTGGCATTATTGATATAATGGCTTTGCAACTAATATGTATTTATTGGACCCTCACTATGAGGATCGCTATTAAGTGCTGTTGTACATGCTTTCTTGCAACAACTGAGTAAGGGGTGCATTTTTAGCTGGCCCCATTTTATAGAAGAGGAGGCAGACATGCAAAAGTTACACCATTATGGCAGCCATGACAGTTTCCATGTTGCTCAGGTTCCCACATTTGCTGTGGACATGGGATGGTGACTCCAGATATTTCAGAATCATATTCTATGGCAGCAGCTAAATATCACTTTTGGAATGCGGAGGCTGCTTCCCATTAGAAAACCAAGAATAGCTATTAAAAGCAATTTCTAGTTCACATGTTGTCCTGTGACAAAGAAGGAGGGTGCCAGAAAAAGGATAAGTAGAAATAGGAATCCTGCACCAGAATTTAAGAAGGGTCTTGTTTCTCCTTTGTCTAATTAGCTCTAGGTAATAGCAAGGATACATGCAGGAGGAAAGGTTAAGTTTTGCCTGTACATTTGGCAACCACAAGGCTTTATTTTAATAAGAAATGAAAAGAAAGAGCCCACTCTTTATATCTAGACCTTTTAAAGTTAGAATGCTTTCTCCCTTCCTCTGTCTTCTTTCCTTTAGCCTTCCCTCCTGAACAAAAAAAGTAAATCAAAAACTGAAAAGTGCAGCATAGGAATATCATCAATAATACTTCAACAGCTTTGAAAGGTGACAATTGGTAACTATGTTCATTGCGGTGAGCACTGCATAATGTATAGAATTGTCTCATTGCTATGCTGCAGACACGAAACTAATGTAACAACGTACATCAGCTCGATGTCCACTTCTTTAAAAAAGATTGGAAAAAATATTAACAAATAACAAAAACAGGGGCTCCTGGGTGGCTCAGTTGGTTAACATCTACCTTCAGCTCAGGTCATGATCTCAGGATCCTGGGATCAAGTCCCACACTGGGCTCCCTGCTCAGCGGGGAGCCAACTTCTCCCTCTGCCTGCTGCTCCCCCACCTCGTGTGCCTGCTCTCTCTCTCTCTCTTATTCTGCTCTATCAAGCAAAGTCTTTAAAAAAAATAAAATAAAATAATTAAAAACCATGTATCTGTAGTCTGGTTTTCCTTTGTATTCCACTAAGAGGAAGCTAATACTGCTCTGAGTTCCAACTGAGCCAGGAAACGCTCCACTATCTTGTCGTTCCAGTTACTCTAGTTCTTCTCTGCCCAATTCCAGAGGCTCTACTCCTCATTGTATTTTCTGAAACCCAAACTTGATCAGGCTACTCTGTATTGTTCAGACATCCCTGATAACTTCTTGCTGACATCCTTGGCCTACATGGAAGGACCCTTGCCTTCTAGCTCCCCCTGCCTCCGCAGATCTGCTGTCTCCTGTTGGGCTTCCCTCCAGCCAAAGCCCAAGATACATCAAGTTGTCTGCTTTCCCCAAGAACATGCTATTTATTTTGCTAATCCCATGACTATCCAACCTATTTCTTTCCTACACCTTTGCCTCTGTTGTTCACCTTGAGAACTACATTTCTCAAGACTTACCTTGGGTCTATCCCATGAAGTCCCTTTCAGTACTATCCCTTTGTCTCCCTCCCCACCCGCACACAGGACAAAATTAACTATTCCTTTCTCTAGATTCTCTTAACAATTTGAAGAGCCTTTTGGTAAAGGGTGTCCAAATATTCTACAACTCATGTTTTTTTTTTCATCTTTTGTCACTCCCAGTGGATTGACATGAGAGGGACATTGTCTTATCTCTTTTCTGCCCTAATGCATCCAATGCCTACATACCCTAGAGTGGGAAACCATTAACCCTTCCACTCCCACTCAGTAAAGAGAACTAAATTGGGCCAGTCACTGAACTTCTGAGTCTCGTCTTCATTGGCAACATGATGAGGTTCTCGCTACTCTCCTACTCCCTTATGCAATAGCAGCAGAGACCAAATGGGATAAGTGTGTGGGAAAGCGCACTGAAAACTAAAAAGCACTGTATAGGTACAAAGTCACATTGTTCTTTTAGCAGAGAAGCCATTTCCATCCTCATTGGTAACACACAGAATGAAGGACTCCAGGTTATCAAGGCAATGAGAGAACTGAGAGTGCAATGAGAGCTAAGATTTGGGCAAAGAGTACAAAGCCAGTACCCTTCTTTCATGCTACATCCCACCCACCTCCAGATAAGGGATTCTCTACGAGTTAATTCCCTTTAAGTCTGTCATGAACCATAAATCCACATAAAAGGCAATGATTGGAAGGAACTAGCCACTTTAAGAATTCCTCATTGGCACAAACCATTGCTACTAGATTCCATAAGAAATTCAAGTTAAAGAAAGGGGATTTAATGGGACCATGTCTTCCTAATTCCAAAATATTAATAAGTTAAAAACTCCAGGAGACAAACTTCCTGTCTCAGCATAGACCTTTTGCAATAATGCCAAAATCTCAATTACTCAGAGTACCCCCTTGTTTCAGTTGCAGAAACCAAACCAAGATTTATCAAACTACACAGTAAGAGAAGTAATCCACAGATGGTCAGTTATATTTAGGTGAGTTATCTCCCAAGAGGGTTTCCTCTCTGACTGGATTTTTTTTTCCTCTGGTATCAAATATTCCATCAGAAGTCTTTCTGTTTACTAAAGTTCTATGCATCATCTTTACTAAATGCAGGTTTTTACATTTTACACACCACAGAATGAAATAATTCAAAGTGCTTGTTAAAAAATTAAAATTCAGAAAAATGTAAAAATGTCTCACCTCCTTGGGGAAAAAGGGTCCAAGGATAGAATAGCACATCATAGAACCCAAGTTAATGGAAGCAGCTGATATCAGTACAAAGAGCTGTTCTCTTGAAAGCTGTCTGGATGTCTCTCTTGCATTTCCTGTAGGGTCATCACCTTAAATGCAAACATGCTACAATTACAGGCATATAACTGGGACCCCTGACCAAAGTTCGCAAAAGTCACTTCTGTGCACGCTGAAGATAAGATCTGCACAGTTAAGGGCTATTTTGAGTAGAGCACATTTGATCAAATGTAACACAAAACTCGTACAACACTCCCATTTCGAAAACATATTATTTTCAGGGCAGAATTTATCAAACCATCTGATCTGTTTTGCCTTCACTATTTCTTCCACTTCTAGTAAATTCCTTCAAGAAGGATGAGGCAACAAAGAGCCTTCCAAAGGGTACTGCTCTCTAAACTATAATGTAACTTCTTGAGTTACTAGCTTCATATGTTACATGGACTCAAAGTGTTCTAAGCATGTCAAGTTAGCTGTTCAGTAAGCATTCTAGGGTAGTATTGAAGTCAAGTGAAGTGTAAGTAGGAGAAAACAAATTACAGCATTCAATTGGCGAATGAATACTTACAATGGTATGCTGCGGGAAAGACAAGTCCCCCAAATCCGTAAATCGATACGTATTTTACACTAATAACTGGCCTTTTGCATTGATTATTTCAATACTTATTTCCAGGGCTAACTGTTCATTTAATTCTATAGATAACTGGTCAGTTACTCAGTTTCAAATATTCAGCAAATCTATCAGTCATTTTTAAATTCAATGGCTTGGAGGAAAAGGAAATTTAAGTAAGAAAACTTTACTTGGTCTGCTCTACGTTTCAGAGGTTGCCACTGCAGTCCAGGGGGGGGGAAAAATCTGTGCAAGATGAGGAAGTCTCAAGAATCTTTGTAAAACTTTCTGGAATAGATGAGGAACGGAACTGAGAGAAAGTTGAAAGGGGGGAGCAACAGTAGGTGCTCCAAATGTAATGCTTTACCTTTGTCTAATGGCATACTTATTTGAATGCATTCCCAAACACAGGATATTTATAAGAGCAGCGCTACAGAGGAGAAAAGTCTTCAGAGACCTCGCCCTGGCCTTGAACTTTAACCCCTTCTGGAGAGAGAAAAGCTCTAACCCGAAGACCCGCTCCCCCACCCTCCTCGCCAGACCCCAGCTTTTTCGAATCCCTCCGAAACAAACCAAGCTAAAACTAATTCAATCGTCGATAAAGGCGACAGGACCCACGCCACCAAGGGGTGTCTGTCGGCGCCGCTCTCGGTCACCTTTGGGGAGGCGTGGGCCCTCTGGGGCCCCCGATGAGTCCATGAGCGCGACGCGCTGTAGTCCCGTGTCGCGGCTCCAGGATCCAAGCCCGCGCCCTCGGATTCGACCTCACAGGAGCCAAAAAGCTGGCGGCCGCCTGCTCATCCAGGCGCCAGCATCGCCGATTCCCCGAGGGCAGCGGTGGGCCGGGAGCTGCCCGCAGCGGGGTAGGATACCCAGGGCTCGGGGAGGAGGGGCGGAGGCGGGGAGGAGGGGCGGAGGCGGGGCGGGGCGGGAGTGGAGCAGCTCTTTGTTTATTTAAAGACACAGGCTACCATCATACCCCCAGCCCTTGGAGAGGCTATGCTTCCCATTCTGTGTGGGGCGGGATGGGGAGAGGACTACCTACATTCCAGGTAGGTGAACCCCGTAGCCTAAAATAAGTAAAGTGTTTCCACTAGAGGTAACAAAGGAAGCGTGTATAGACACAGAAAAGATAGGCTACCGCCTTACCGGCACCATCACAACTTGAGGGCGCGGGCGCGGGTGCGCGCGCGCGCACACACACACACACGCGCAGGCTTCACTTATCTTCCCCTTATTTGCTATTTGGGAACAGTTAATGTTTGAGGCCTGAGAAATTTTGGTTTGGGACCGACATAAAATTTAAACGACTGCTGAGTTGCCACCTTGTTTCAGGCATTATGAATTTAAAGACGAATAAGCACCCATCCAGCCTCAAGTAGCATACATCTAGCAGGTAAAACAGACCCCTGTTAATAATTTGTTATGATGTGATGAGTTTTGTAATGTAGAAACATATTGGAAGGACTCTTTACTTTGGCTAAGTGAGCCCGGGATGGCTTCCTGAGGAAGAGATGTTACCTCGGGGCTTGAAGTTTATGCAGAAATTCCTTGGGTAGGTAAGAAGAGTCTTTAGAGCCATTCGAAAGAGGATTAGGTCTAGCTCAGATTCCTTCAAGTGGCTTTCCAGAATCTTTATTATCTAACACCCACTGGCTTCTCCAATCTCATTTTACTCTACATTCCCCTTCCAATATAACATCAAACCATAAAAGAGAATTTTTTTTAAGATTTTATTTATTTGACAGAGAGAGATTATAAGTAGGCAGAGACGCAGCCAGAGAGAGAGGAGGAAGCAGGCTCCCTGCTGAGCAGAGAGCCCGATGCAGGGCTCCATCCCAGAACCCTGAGATCATGACCTGAGCCAAAGGCAGAGGCTTTAACCCACTGAGCCACCCAGGCACCCCAAAGAGAATTTTTTTTTTGAATTATTTCTTTGATGATTACATTTCCTTTTTTTGGTCTCTTTTCCTGGACTGCTCCTTATACAGATATTGGGTCATCTAGATTGGCCCTCTTATTTGTTATTCTTTTTCTCTCCTACTTTTCATCTCTTATTGCTCTTGGTCTATCTTATAGGAATTTCCCCCAACTTTATCTTCCAGTGCTTAAGCTGAATTTTTCATTTCTATTGTCATTTATTTCCCTCTATCCTTACTCCCATCCCCTGCATCAGCAATTATTCTTGCATGCTTTTTAAATTTTATTTTTAAGATATCCTACAACCAGTGTGGGGCTCAAACTTACAACCCCAAGACTAAGAGTCGCATGCTCTACCCAGTGAGCCAGTCAGACACCCCATTCTTGCATATTTAATACAAATCTTTTTGTTTGTATATATTTTCATAAAATGTCTATTCTTATTTTGCACCCATCAATTTTTCATTTATATAAAGTGTATTGTGGTATAGATCCATATTCCTACCTTTCTCTCCACTTCTATTCTCTGCCTCCTAGCTTCCCTTCACATGATCTGTGACAGGAGACTATATTATCATATTAGTTTTCTGGGATTGCTGTAACAAATTACCACAAACTTGGTGCCTTAAAACAACAGCCTTGAAGGCCAGAAGTTCAACATCAATTTCACTGAGCCAAAATCCAAAATGATCTACTCCTCTCAAGATCTTTAACTTAATCCCATCTGCATGGACCCTTCTTTCAAATAAGGTAACAAGTTCCAGAGATTGGGATGGGAACATATCTCTGGGAGCCATTATTAGCCTACCACAAGTGTCCATTCACTGAAGTTTTATATACTCATCATAGTCATATGGACACTATAGTTTCCACAGAAACTATATAAACATTTTTTTGTACAAACTAAAGTGGAATATTTTGTTTAAATGCTATTTCCTCAGGGAAGTTCATTCTTGGATGATCTTTTTATTTGATGTAGAAATATGTAGACAGAGTTGTTATCTTTCAGCCTCTTTAGGACATGGTTCTACTATTTTTGGTGGCTATAATTCCTCAAGAGAAATCAGTATAATTTTGAATGTTATGTACCTTTTTATTGTCTTGGCTGCTTTGGGGGATTTTCTCTTGATCTTTGAGTTTCAATAGTTCACTTATATGTGTCTAGTTATGTGTGTAGTTGTTTTCAAATTTTTATTTAAATTCTAGTCAGTTAACATACAGTGTAATACTGGTTTCAGGAGTAGAATTTAGTGATTCATCACTTACACGTAATACCTAGCGCTCATTACAAGTGCCCTCCTTAATACTCATTACCCATTTAGCCCATCCCCTGCCCACCTCCCCTCCATCAACCCTCAGTTTGTTCTCCCTAGTGAAGAGTCTCTTATGGTTTGCTTCCCTCTTTTTCTCCCTTCCTCTATGTTCATCAGTTTTGTTTCTTAAATTGCGCATATGAGTGAAATCATGTTATTTGCCTTTCTCTAACTTATTTCTCTTAGCATAAGACCCTTTAGCTCCATCCACATCATTGCAAATGGCAAGATTTCATTTTTTGATGGCTGAATAATATTCCATTATATCTGTGTGTATGTGTGTGTGTGTGTGTGTATATAGTCACATCCTCTTTATCCATTCATCAGTTAATGGACACTTGGGCTCTTTCCATTATTTGGCTATTGCTGATAATGCTGCTATCAACATCAGGGTGTGTGTGGCCCTTCAAATCAGTATTTTTGTATCCTTTGGATAAATACCTAGTAGTGCAATTGCTGGGTCATAGGGTAGTTCTATTTTTAGCTTTTTGAGGAAGCTCCATACTGTTTTCCAGAAAAGCTATACCAGTTTGCATTCCCACCAACAGTGTGAGAGAATTCCCCTCTCTCCACATCCTCACCAACATCTGTTCTTTCCTGTGTTGTTAATTTTAACCATCCTGACAGGTGTGAGGTGGTATCTTATCATGGTTTTGATTTGCATTTCCCTGATGATGAATGATGTTGCACATCTTTTCATGTGTCTGTTAGCTATCTGGATGTCTTCTTTGGAAAAATGTCTGTTCATGTCTTCTGCCTATTTCTTAATTGGATTCTTTGTGTTTTGGGTGTTGAGTTTGATAAGTTTCTTATAGACTTTGAATACCTCCCTTTATCAGATATATCATTTGCAAATATCTTCTCCCATTCCATAGGTTGTCTTTTAGTTTTGTTGATTGTTTCCTTCACTGTGCAGAAGCTTTTTATCTTGATGAGGTCCCAATAGTTCATTTTTGCTTTTGTTTCCCTCGCCTCTGGAGATATGTCTAGCAACGAGTTGCTGCTGCCAAGGCCAAAGAAGTTGCTAGCTCTGTTCTCCTTTGGAATTTTGATGGTTTTCGGTCTCACATTTAGGTCTTTCATCTATTTCGAGTTTATTTTTGTGTGTGTGCTGTAAGAATGTGGCCTACTTTCACTCTTCTGCATGTAATCATCCAGTTTTCCCAACACCATTTGTTGAAGAGACTGTCTTTTTTCCATTGGATATTCTTTTTTGCTTTGTCAAAAATTGGTTAACCATATAGTTGTGAGTCCATTTCTGGGTTTTCTATTCTGTTCCACTGATCTGTGTGTTTGTTTTTCCACTAGTACCATACTGCCTTGATGACTACTGCTTTGTAATGTAGTTTGAAGTCCAGAATTGTGATGCCTCCAGTTTTGCTTTTTTTTTCCAAGTTGCTTTGACTATTCAGGATCTTTTGTGGTTCCATACACATTTTAGGATTGTTTATTCTATCTGTGTGAAAAATGCTGCTACTATTTTGATAGGGACTGCATTAAATGTGTAGATTGTTTTGGGCAGTATGGACATTTTAGCAATATTTGTTCTTCTAATCCATGAGCATGGAAAGTTTTTTTCCATTTCTTTGTGTCCTCTTCAATTTCTTTCATAACTGTTCTATAGTTTTCAGAGTACAGAACTTTTACTGTTTTGGTTAGGCTTATTCATAGGTATCTTAAGGTTTTGGGGGCACATGATATGTTTTGGCTCAAGTGCCAAGTGCATTAAAGAATCAGCCAAAGCATATCAGGAGACAGATGTTAAAATAATGTCTTTGGAAATCTTTCTCAAGCTCCTGGTTTTGCTTTCCTCTTCTTGTGCTTTGTTCCTGGTCAAGGTGTCCCCTTGTGGTAGCAACAGTTCCCCTGGCAACTCCCATAGAAAGAATTCCTCAACAGCTTCCCACTTTTCCTGAGTTTCTGGTAGATTCTCAGAATGGAGCCACTGGCCTGATCTTGTTGGTGTCCCATCCCTGTGAATGAGCTTACACAATTACTTGGGGAGTATAGCGGCATGAAAAGAGTACAGTAAGATGATGGAGTAAGGTCAGGAAGCCTTCATATCAAACTAAGTGGTTTTTTTTTTTTTTTTTTGTCCCCCACCTTTTTTCCTTCCTTTTTTTTCTTTCCCCGCACTTTCAATCTGCAGGACCCTTTAGGTCTAAAATGAGTCTCTCACCGGCAGCATCAGGATGGGTCTTGATTTTTTGTGTATGTGTTTTTTAATCCATTCTAATACCCTATGTCTTTTGGCTGGAGCATTTAATCCATTTACATTCACAGTGATATTTGATAAATATGAATTTAGCACCATTGTATTACCCTAAATTCATTGCTCTGGAGATTTTCTCTGTTCCTTTCTTTGTTGCCTTTGGTCTCTCTTTCCCACTCATTGTCCCCTTTAACATATCTTACTGGACTGGTTTAGTAGTCACGAGCTCCTTTAGTTTTTGTGTGTCTGGGAAA